GAGTATTGCTGATGTAGGTTTATAGGATCCTCCACTACATCGCCGACCTCGACATCCCCATCAAGCGCGGTACCTTTATCGAGTTCCGCAATGGCATGATCAACGTCTCTCCTATCGGCCGTAACGCATCCACTGAAGAGCGCAACGAATACCAAAAGTACGATCTCCAACATAAGGTCAGGGAAACCATGGTTGCGAAGCTCAAGGAAGCGTTCCCAGACTACGGCCTTACATACTCCATTGGTGGTCAGATTTCCTTCGACGTCTTCCCTACTGGCTGGGACAAGACCTACTGCCTACGTCACATTGAGGCAGAGAAGGGTCTCTCTGGTGTTGTCTACGACAAGATCCACTTCTTTGGTGACAAGGCTTACGAGGGCGGGAATGACTGGGAGATCTACAGCGATGAGCGGACTATCGGACATAAGGTCAAGAACCCAGACGACACCTATGCGCAGCTTCAGGAGCTGTTGAAGAGCTTCTAGTAGGATGAACCGAAGGCATATGGGGCGATATTGTCGAGTCGGAGACGGCATGGCAGTTTTGTTCTCTTTGAGATCAATTCCACCGGCGATGGAGCGACACGATAAATAATGCGAACAAGATTTATATCAGTCCATTAACCCTAGGATCTATGAACTGTAGCTTTTATGGGCCGAGTCTTGTTTGTTCGCATCTCTGCATCGGCAGATTTCAATCCCGTGTCTTTCAGTCAGACTATACGATCTATAACCTGAAAGAGGAGATAGTCGCTGCTGACACGACAGTAATTTGTTGACAACGAACCAGGAAGAATTGTTCCAAGGACATTGGCCAGACCGCTTGTCGAAACTTTAAACCACCGAAGCCTGCATGCGGTAGATTGACAAGATGTTAGTCAGACAACGCCTTGCTTCACGGCCAGCAGCTTCAATCCCGAATAGCATTCTCTCCGTCCACAACAGCGAGCTTGCAATGTACCAATCAAGTGTTTACCAAATATTGTCCAAACACAGTTTTGAGATCCACATCCACCTCGCCAAACCATGCCCCGAACGTCAAAAACGCCGCCCAGCGCCATGATACTGTCACTACTCGGGTGCGGGGGCAGATTGAGGACCTGCATACGCCCTGTAGCCTCGTAGCCAATTGGAATTAGCCTCCCTACTTTCGACCTGTTTCTAAGACGGTTTCGGAAAGTCGTTCATGCCGGGTAAAAGGTATGGGCCGAACTTCACAAAACCAAGACGCTAGATGCTTTGCACCTCACCAAGGAAGGGAAAAGAGGAGGAGGGGTTGAGATCTTTCGAATGTCTGAGAGACTACAAATAGTGGTCTCTGTGCCTAGATGCCTCCAAAACGTATCGTCGAAGTTGATGCGTTCTCCGTCATGAAAATCCCTGCAATTCCACTGCTCGGTCTGCTTCCCACTCTAACTTCAACCTCTCCTCTTCATCATGCTTCTTGTGTTTCACCACAGTCTATCTCCAATTCCTCAAACACATACGATTACATCGTCACGGGCAGTGGCCCGGGCGGCGGCACTATCGCTTCAAATCTAGCTCGCGCTGGCTACTCTGTTCTGCTGATTGAAGCGGGATCTGATGCTTCGTCCGACATTCGTACTCAGGCACTTGCTTTGAATGACTTCTCGAACGCGAATGTAGCTTGGCACTTTTTTGTGAAGCACGGTGATGATGAAGAGAGGCTGAAAAGGTATAACTTGTTGGTTTGGAGATTGGAGAATGGGGAGTGTGAGTTTGGTCTTGAGTGTAGAGCGCATACGAACTCATTGCTGACGTTGTTGATAGATTGGGTTGGGAAAGACCCCAGTGCTGAAGGACACGTAAATGCTGAGAGGTTGGGTATTTTCTACCCAAGGGGTGTAAGTAATGTCGTGAGAAACCCGTGCAGGATAGATACACTGACTTGAGTTACCGAGTCTAGGCTACGCTGGGTGGAAGCGCGATAATCAATGCCGCCGCGACATTCCTGCCGAGTGATAGCGACTGGGATTTTTTTGACAAAGGAGTTGAAGATGGTATCTGGAGGTGAGTTGTTGAGAATCCTAATCATTGCAGACGGTGCTAATATCCCTATAGCGCCAAACTGATGCGCGAATACTTTGAGAAGATTGAGCACAACAACTACCTTGACAAAGACACTCCCGGCCACGGCTTCACAGGCTGGCTGCAGACCAATATTGCCGACCGTGCCACTCATGCAGCTTCAACACTTCGCTTCAAGGTCTTCGAAGCATGCTTGAGATTGGTGGGAAAGGATCCAGAAAAGGTTTTGGACTATCTCACTAGCGATGGTAACTACCTGGATCCAATGCGTGACCAGTCAGAGGGTTTATGGTCACTGCCTTATCACGTTACACCGAACTGGAGGCGCTTCAGTCCACGCGATCGTGTTCTGGAAATGCGTAATCTGACGAATGCAACGCTGCATCTCCAACTCGAGTCTTTGACCACGAAGGTGCTGTTCGATAGCTGCAGTGGTAATGATACGAAGCCGCGAGCAGTTGGAGTCGAATATCTTCAAGGCAAGTCGGTATACAAGGCCGATCCACGTCGCAACGCTTCCAGCACAGGCACTCTACATCAAGCTTTCGCTCGAAAAGAGGTCATTGTGTCTGGCGGTACTTTCAACTCCCCACAGATTCTGCAACTCTCTGGCATCGGGCCCAAAACTCTCCTCGAGAAATACGACATTCCCGTAGTCTCTGACTTACCAGGAGTGGGACGCAATCTCCAGGACAATTACGAGATACCCGTCTACGGAAACGCTCAGGTCAGCTTGGCGGCAGCGCCTGATCCCGATGCTCCACAATGTACATACGGTGCTCCAGGCGATCGTAAGTGTCTCTGTACGGACTGCGCATGAGACAAATGCTGATTTCGTACGCACATGTTTAGCATGTCTTGATCTCTGGTACAAGGGGGAAGGGCCATACTCGCGAGGTGACTCAAACTCAAACGCCTTCCTCATCAAGACTCCCCACGCAGTCGAAGGCGAAAGAGATATGCTTATGTTCGCCGGCATAGGCAGGGCTTTCGCCGGTTTCGTACCCACGGAATTTCTCAACAGTACATCCTATCCTCCCTCCACGTTCTCCTGGTCAACAGTCAAAATCCACCCCCAGAATACCGCCGGCTACGTACAGATCCAATCAGCAAACGCAACCGATACGCCGGAAGTGAATCTGAACTATTTTGCCGAGGGTGCAGAAACAGATCTCAATGCCATGCTCGACACAGTTGCTTTTGCGCGGAGAGCCTTTGCTTCTACCGAAGCGCCAGTTGGTCCTGTAATCTCTGTTTCTCCCCCTTGCCCACCTGAAGACATTCTTGACACAGGCTATTGTCGAGACACGCAAATTGACAAAGACTGGATACAAGACCAGGCTTTCGGTCACCACCCTACAAGCACGAATAAGGTTGGGCCAGACTCTGATCCTATGGCTGTACTAGATACGAGGTTGAGAGTTAGAGGAGTTCAGGGATTGCGTGTTGTAGACGCCAGTGCGTTTCCCAGATGTCCCGGGGCATTCCCGGCGGTTAGTACATTTTTGTTGAGTGAGAGGGCGACAGATTTAGTGTTGGAGGATGTGGGGAAGTGGTAGGCTAGGTATTGGTGTCGTATCGTGGATAGAGAAAGCCATCCTAGGGAGAGAATGTGGGTAGAAAGACTGCCATTGCTGTCACGCAAACCAGATACAATCTTGTGTGTCTTTAGTACAGACGAATGACAACAATAAAAAAGGTTCGATGGAAGCAATAGGAAAGCGACACGACGATCCAGATGGGAACTTAAGCATAAACTTAAGCCCTGCATTAGCGTGTTTACCCCACCAATAACCCGACCTTCGAATTCGCGCCAAAAATTGTGTGTCGCAAAGCCCGCTGGCCAAAACTTGCCCGCCAACCAGTTCCACTCCAGGACAACACACGAAACGCTCAAAGCGATACAACTCTCAAACAGTCCGGTACCCATAATCGAACGCCACAACATGAAGCTCCTCACCTTGAACTTCCTCACCTGCGCCATAAAAACCTGCAAAACGAACCCCGCATCCTTCCCCCTACACCCGCGCGACGCCGAACTCGAAATTGTAGAAGCAGACGTCAACCTAGCCTTTCTCAAAAACATCTTGCCGAGGTTGATGTGGAATGAGTTGAGGGCGATATGCAGTGAGGTATGCGAAACCCTCAAGATCTACAATTAAAAGAACGACGACCGCAAGGCTTGCGAAACAGAGGCTAATGTATATACACTATAGCTCGGTCTCCCTGAACTTCCACCAACAGCACCCACACCCGCCGACCTTGTCGAGCCTTCTTCTACCTCTGCCTCTGCGTTAGATACCACGGATGCGACACCGGCAACAGCAACTGAACAAGTAGAAGAGGAGCCTAGCCAGACAGCGAAGGATCTACACAGGATATTACTCGAGACATGTATACAAGAGGGCAAGCTAGTATGTGGAGCATGTGAGCATGAGTATGCGGTCAAGGAGGGGGTCGCGAACTTCCTGTTGCCAGGACACCTGGTATGAGCTTGGAACGTTGTGCATGAGATTTTTGGTTGGACGGTTGAGCGTGATGGAAATTGAGTTTTTCAGGCTGGAGCTTGCGAGCGCAATAACAGTCTACCACGATAAGCCTAGGCTGAGCACAGAGTGTAGGACTACGAGGCCATGGGCACTGCTACACACGCAGGGCATCAGCAGAGAGGGATGTAGGGAGAGGCATGAATGCGGCTGGACGACGGAGGCTGCTATAGGATACCCGTCTGATGATTTCTATACACATGGGAAAAATAGTGTTTTGCACAAGAGCATGGAAGTCAGTGCGACTCGTCTCGACTGCAGAAGTATCACCAGAGTCAAGTCAGAGTTGACAAAGGGCAACGCGCTTGAGAATTGAAGCTACACTTTTCCCTGGCCAGAATGGTATCTACGATATGCGCCTGAACACCCTTGTAACGGCACTTCCACCGGCGAGGACTTCCAACCCTTAAGAGCCAAGAGCGCGGTTGATCTGCACCCGCTTATCCTCACCTCCCGACACAATGCCCACAGCACGATCCCACCGTACGCTGAAGACCTTGGCACCTTCACCATGGCTCTTTGCAGCATCGCGTCCTTGCCTGTAAATCGTGTACACGCTTTCACCAGTCATTCCCTCTCCAACCTGTCCACCTGTACTAACATTCCTGAGGTCCCAAATTTGAACTGTGCCGTCGTGCGAAGCAGAAGCCAGATTGTATTCAGAAGAAGGATCTGTGTCCAGGGAAACAACACCGTTCTTGTGGCCTCGGAGCGTCATGACACTGATCTGGGTAGCTGACGCGCGGGGGTCGATCAACGTGATGTGTCGTGCCGAGGTACCGGTTGCAAGTAGATTTCGGGAGGGAATCGCGCAGAGGGAAAGAAGCGAGTGACCAGTCGTTCGAGTGTCAACGCACGACTGGGTAGGCAGATCCCATGTCTTGAGCGTATGGTCGTGAGATGCTGAGTATGCGACTGTAGCATCATCCGGCTTGAATATGACGCTCGATACCGGTGAATTGTGACCGCTAAACGTAGCGAGAGCGCCACGAGCGGGAACCGTGCGATCGGGCTTTGAGAGCTTTTGTCGCTTGTTGGAGGCAGCATTTGAGCTCGGCAGGAAGTTTGGCGGTGCGACTGGGTTCTCTTTTGCATTGCTCGAGAAGAGCGAAATGGTGGTATCCGAAGAAGCAGAAAGGATTCGGCTAGACGGGCCATGAACCGCGACGTCTTCTACACCCCATCGATGATTGAACAACTCGAGAGCCGTTGTAATGGTTCGCGCGTCATCATCGTACTTGTAGACACGGACCGTGTTGTCCAGACCTGCAGCCACCATCTTCTTCTCCGACAGCCACTTGGCCGTCTTTAGGCTTGTGATGCGACCACCGTTGTTGGGAGCCTCGGAAGTCGCCAAAACATCGCCTGAAGTGTTCCACACTCTTACTAGCCCGTCGTAACTCGCGCTCAATATTCTCTCTTGCCCACTTTGTACCCCCGATAGAACATCCACAGCAGAAACCCAATCGTCATGCTCAAAGCTTGTGACGTTCAGTGGTGGGACCAAAGCCCTCGTGTATTCAACGTCCAGCGTCGATTCAGCATTGATACCATTCTTCGTGAGAAACTCGTCGATTGTGGTCCGGAGAAATTCGCCATTGATCAAGATGTCGAACGGTATGCGACTGTCGTCATCGCGATGTAAAAGTTCGTTCACAAGTGTTGAAAGCTTGTGTCGTGTAAGGGCTAGAGGCGCATTTGCGTTAGCTACAGTATCAAAGGAGCGGCGAAGGTAATGCGACGATAGAAATACGCTGATATAGTCGCGACGGCTCACAATGTGTGCGCGACTGTATCGCAGCGGATAACACAAAGCCGCGACAAGCGAGTAGGCTTGCGATAGTTCTACTTACATGTCTGAACTAACAGGATGTTCGGCTCCTCCGAAATCTGTAGGCTAGCATCGCGTGTCGTAAGGCGAATCTGCACCTTGGTTTCTGTTGCGTCGATATCCATGGCGTCGGCGGGTTCGGAGATATATGTTGGTTGGTGTTGAAGTCGTGAAGCTTTGGAAATTTTGGGATCTCGAACTTTTTTTCGAATGCGGTTAGCGCGGCGAGAATCAGCCAGTCGGCGTTCGTAGACCTCCGCTCACGTACGACTTCACAGTTGCAATTGCCGTATTTACTCAAGTTTGATTGCAGTTACTTACAAGGTCATATGTTGTTTGAGTTTTATGCAGAACACTTGTTGCAGACTTGGGTCATCTCACATCTAGAACAATATGAACTCGCTCACGAGAGCATAGCTGTGCTCTCTTCAAGGGTATATCATTTCATCAAGTCATACTAGTCCTCCTAATTTCAGCAATAGCTCTCCTCCGATGATCGCTAGGCGCGAACAGCGCCTCGATCAGGCCCACAACCTCGTCAGCCTCCATCTCCAACTTCAGCTCACCATCTGTCCAGAAGTATTTGATATCTGCAAGGCTGCTGTCCAATATCTCGCTCAGGTATTGGAACTTAAACCAATTGGGCGTGTAAATACCGGCCATATCTCTCGTCTCTCCATTACCATCTTCTGTTTGGAAATGCTGGGACAGGGTAGCAAGTGACACGCAGTATCCGTGCAGTTTTCTTGACTCGTCTTCTGCGATATCTGACATGTCCTCGACGTCGGTGACAAATTTGGTAAGGGCAGCTGATACCAGTGAGCCAAGTGATTGGAGTAGGGCGCTGTGAGAGAGGACATTCTGCCATTGTCGCTTCACATCACCTATGCGGTCGATAGTCGTGGCGATAGCATCATCACAGACCGTAGCAAAGGGAACATTAGTACATCCTTGAAAGCCCTGCGCGTCTTCAAGATGATCCCTGATGATTTGTCTCTGTGACTCCATCTCGCGTCCATACGCACGCTTTCCAAATCCGTCAACTGACTTGATGTCAGACTCGAGCATCGGCTTGAGACGTTTAGATGGTTGCAAATGCTGTGGTAATGCTGATGTTTGATCTTTCTCAGCCTGGTCTTGGAGAAAAAGTCGCAAACGATCTGACAGCCGCTGACAATCGTTGTAGATGAGCATGTTACTTGCGACGTCTTTAGAGTAATGCATCACAGCAGTAGCTCGGTACATTGCAAGGAGGAGGCTAGGAATGGCGTATAGGCCTCCGCTTGCGGGTGCGATTGCGGACTTGACGATCTCGGGGGAATTCAGCGTGTCTACCTCTGCAATGACCTGCAAGATGATTTCCATGATAGCATCCGGAATCGCCGTTACTGTGTATGTTTCTCGAAGTGTGACCTCCTGATTCGCGGGCTGTTTTTGAGATGCAGGTTTTCCGTTTGTTTTCGGTTGCTCTGGTATGGTTCTTGCAGGCTTTGGCGATGCAGCAGGTTTGATGTCAGTCTCATCGTCCCAATCTGCACCCCAATCATCTGCATCCTCTGCATCAGCTGGCTTTTCCTTGGTCTCCTGCTCTTTCAACTCATCATCGACCACATCATCATCCTCACCCCAAGCGCTCATATCTTCTTCTTCATCTTCGACAGTCTGTTTTTTCTCTTCTGTGACTTCTCCTTCCTCGTCCCAGTCAGCAGCCCAGTCGTCTTCCTGTTCATCTCCGGCATGCAATGCATCGCCTTTTGAGATGACTTGCGTCTCGACCCTTTCAACCGTTTTCTTCTCTCGCACAGTCTTTGGGAACATGGCCTGCACTCGGGAAATCGCATGCTCTTTCTGTTTAGCAAGCCATATCTCGGCAGACTTATCCACCCATTCGGCTAGACGATTCTGGCCAGACCAGCCTAGCTCATCAAGATACTCGACCAAGCCCAAGACATAAGAGAGCGACTCTTGAAAGTGCGGGATTCCTTCTGTGGATAATGGCACGGCAGGCAAAAGCAGGTTCGAGATCAGACGAGAAGCGACGATCGGAATAACTTTGGATGATAGTGGAACAGCAATGCTAGGCGGTAGGCGCGTGCTCAGAAACTCGACGAGCAAGTGGATATCCTCTAAGGTAGCTTTTATCCTACCATCGTTGACCGGACCAGCACGTTGAATGACGTCCTCTTGGATTTCAAATGCGGACACGACGCGGTCGGTACCCATGGCAAGGCGGGGGAAGATTATGACTCTGTCAAGATCACGGCTTAGGCGGGTGACGAAGCTATCAAGAAGCCCCAGTTTTGTAAGCGCTTCGACGGTTGTATTGATATCGACCTTGGCCTCGCGTTCGATGGACTGATGCAGTGCGATTCTGTGGCTGGTATTGTCAACCGAAATCAGCCCGTTCCATGACTCTGTCACGGTTTCCACGATAGCTTTCTTCAGCTGCTCTTCCTTGTTCTTCAACACACCCACTACTCTCGTGGTGGTGAAAGGCCCCAGTCTTTGAAAGGCGCCATCTGCGTCCTCCAATATTTGTATAGCGTGTATGACATGGCCATGTACAGCAGCATTCTGGGCGGAGTCCAGCAGAGTCGAGATATCTCTCAGCTGCTCCACCGCTTGCGCCAAGCTCTCATTGTATGCAATCTCGGTATGCAACAGGCTGACCTTGCTTGCGGCATCCTGGACGCGAGCGGTGTTTTCTTTGCCAGCTTCGGCTTGTTTTACGATATCCTTGGCCGTTTCTTGCGAGCGTTTGATGTCGTCCTGCAGCTTGCGTGCCTGTGCTATCCAGCCATCGACGTCCGGCGCGGCTTCTGTTGAGAGTTTGCGTACTTCGTTCTGGCAACACAGTCAGCGCCGCCAGAGATACATGGTAGCTTCACGCACCTCTGTGTCTTCTCGTGCCTTGGCGACCACCTCGAGCAGCTTGGGAAGTGCGCTGGAAGGTACCGTTGCAGACGCGACATGTTCATCCTGGGGAAACGCTCCGTGTGCGGCTGACTGGAGCAGCGCGTCGCCTAGCTGATGATCCGAAACTTGCGAAGGCATCTGTAATTACGGGGCGATTGACATGTCGATATCAAGAAGAGCACAAGGGTAGGCTAATTCGCAGCGAGGGCAGCCGCAACGTTGCAGGACCAACATTGAAGCTGCACGGACACCCAAGCGACGTCAACGCATGCGTCCCCTGCCCCGCCACACTTACCCCGCCACGCTCAAGGCGTGTGGTCGATTGAAGAACCTGGCACATGTGCGTTTGATGACAATAACAGGAGACAAATCTGGATCAGGGCTACTTAGTATATTCACTATAGCACCATCTTCGTGACGTCGCAGTACTATCGCTCGGTAACTCGCCTCTTCCAAACCCTGCTTTCGATTATTCCCTTCTTCCTTGGCCGGGCTGGCTTTCTGCTACTCGCACTTCTTCTTATCCTCTCGTGAGTCTTGCATTTTCCCATTACACTAGACATCTGGTTTCAAGCGCTAGTATCGCATATCGAATGCAAGCATGCATCGGCTATGTACGACAAGTCAGCTAACAAAACAATGGTAGTACCAATTCGGACAAAGCGGCCTGCGCTTGCAGCCTGCGCAACGGAGAAAGATACTTCAGCAGCCTCGCTTTGCCGTACCCCCTCTCCTTCAAATTCGACATCATGGGGTCAATACAGCACGAGTCGCATTTCAAGAAGCTGCAGCAATTCAAAGCAAACTACGCTGATGCCACTTTCACTCAGTATGAATCGCAGCGAACAGGTCTCCGGGTAGTCGTAGTCGATCGCAAGGGGCCGAAAGTATACGGAAACTTCGCAGTGGCCACCGAGATCCACGATGATTCGGGCGCACGTGAGTATTCTCACCCGTGTTCTACAGATGTTTACTAAATGACGTAGCGCATACCCTTGAGCACCTCTGTTTCATGGGTTCACGGAGATATCCTTTCAAAGGTGTACTAGACAAGATTGCCACCCGATCATACTCCGACACAAATGCATGGACGGACGTCTCCGAAACAGTGTATACTCTGTCAACGGCAGGCTGGGAAGGTTTCGCTCAGCTACTGCCTATTTACCTGGATCATCTTATTGTACCTACACTCACCGATGCCGGTTGCTACACTGAGGTTCATCACGTTGATGGCAAAGGAGAAGACGCAGGGTAAGTATTTCTTGACGCTTGTGCGTTGTCTGCTAACAACACAAGTGTTGTCTACTCTGAAATGCAAGGACGTCAAAACTTACAGGGCGACCTGATGGATCTCCAGATGCGCCGTCTCCTCTATCCTGAAGGCGACGGTTTCCGCATGGAGACAGGCGGCCTGATGGAGAACCTACGAGTTTCTACCGCAGAGCGCATCCGCCAATTTCATCGAGACATGTACCAACCTAAAAACATAAGACTTGTGCTGATCGGAGAGGTGGATCATCCAAATCTTCTGGATGTACTGGACAAGTTCGAGGACCAGATCGTTGACCGCGTACCGGCTTATAGTGCGCCCTTCAAGCGTCCGTGGGTCGAGTCGAAGCAGACTCCACCACTAAGCAAAACAATCGTTGACACGGTCGAGTTCCCAGAAGAGGACGAATCAATGGGCGAGGTTCAAATCGCCTTCCTAGGGCCCAAAACCATCGACGATCTCGGAGAGACTGCCATCAACACACTGCTCAACTACCTTGCTGGTTCATCTGTTTCGGTCTTAGTAAACACGCTTGTGGAGAAGGAACATCTTGCAAGTATGGTCTACTTTTGGTGCAAAGGACATACCGACATGATAATTTGGTGGACCCTGTCATCTGTAGAGACAGATAAGCTGGCAGATGCAGAGAAACGTTTCTTCGAAATCCTCAAAGAACACGCTTCCAAGCCGCTTGATATGAGCTATCTTAAAGACTGTCTCCATCGTTTCAAGCGTCAAACTCGCTATATGTCTGAGATTGGTATGGATGAGTACAAAGATCCGATTATCAAAGATCACGTCTTCGGTGACCGAAATGGAACTCATCTTGAAGACGCCATGGCCACCCTCGACGTATTCGATACCTTGGACAACTGGACCGAAGAGGAATGGCGAGCGTATCTGAACAAGTGGATGGTAGATGCTCATCACGTTTCCATTCTCGGTAAACCCTCAAAGGCTCTGTCAGATAAGATTAAAGCAGACGAGATTGCACGAGTCAAGGCACAACAAGAAAAGCTAGGTGAAGAGGGACTGAAGAACTTGGCACAGAAACTCAAGGAAGCCCAAGAGGAGAACGACAAGCCCATTCCAGAAGAGATAATTGCTGGTGTTCAGGTTCCAAGCACCGAGTCTATCCACTTCTACGAGACTACAACAGCACGCTCTGGACTAGCAAAGAAGCTAGGTACATCAAAGAACAATATCCAGCAGATTGTGGACAAGGATGAGAATGGTCTCCCATTATTCATCCACTTTGAACACATTCCAACTTCTTTCGTGCACTTCGGCTTAGCGCTCGGAACCGCGTCGCTACCAACGGAACTTAAGCCTCTGCTCGGTGTGTATCTCACCAACTTCTTCGCTACTCCTATCATGAAGGATGGAAAGCGCATCGAGTTTGAAGAGGTCATCACCAAGCTTGAGCAGGATACGATTGAATACTCCATGGACCGTGGTACTGATATCGGAAGCTCGGAAATGATTTATATTCCCTTCATTGCTGAGGCTGACAAGTTTGAGACGGTCGTCTTATGGCTCAGATCAATGCTTGTTGACTCAGTGTTCGACACTGAGCGCATCATCTCTGCAGTCAAGAAGATGCTTGCGGATGTGCCCGAAGAGAAGCGTGACGGCAACTCGATGAGCTTTGCAGTTGATCGTATGATACACTACGATGCCGCTTCAGCTGTTCGCGCTACTGGGACATTAGTCAAAGGTCTCTACCTAAAGCGCATCCTGAAATTGCTCAAGACGGAACCCCAACAGGTTCTCGACAAGCTCGAAGCCTTGCGAAAGCACCTACTGACCTTTGCCAACATGCGCATTCTCGTGACCGCCAATCTCGAGACTTTGCCAAACCCAGTATCCACCTTCAAACATCTCACCGACGCTTTCAAGCCCGGCCCGGAGCCGACTGTGAACCCAATCGATGATCGCAATGCACTCCTATCAGATATCGGCCGTAACCCAGGCGGCACCCACTACATAATCCCCATGCCCATCGACTCTTCCTTCGCAGTACTCACATCCAAAGGACCAAAGGGGTATACAAACGCCCAACTTCCGCCACTCATGGTCGCACTGGCCTATCTCGATGCCGTCGAAGGCCCCATGTGGCAATCAATCCGTGGCACAGGTCTTGCATACGGCAGCAACTTTTTCCGCGACCCCGAGACAGGCCTACTCAAGTTCCGCATTTCCAAATCCCCCAACGTATTTGCCGCGTACAACAAAGCGAAGACAGTCATCAAGGAATACGGCGACGGTACACAGAAGTTTGAGAAGCTGGCTCTCGAAGGTGCCATCTCTAGTATCGTGCGCGACTTTGTCGATGAGCGCGCTACTATTGTCGACGCTGCTAGGAGTTCCTTCATTGATCTTGTTACGCGTGGTGTTGGAAAGGATTGGCAGGATTGGGCGCTTCGCGAGGTGCGCAAGGTGACTGAAGAAGACGTCAAAAACATCTTGAACGAGGTTGTAGCTGGTGTGTTTGTGCCAGAAAAGACGGATCTAGTCGTAACATGCGGTGGTATCATGACTGACGTAAGTTCCTCGTTATTCACCTCTAGGTCTTGCTCTGAAACGCTGCTTACTTTTCTATATAGGGCCTCAAGAAGGACTTTGAAGACGCAGGCTTCAAGATCGAGATCAAGCAGCTAGCTGATTTCCAAGACGCATACGGTCTTGAGGGTGAAGAGGATGATGAGGACGATGACGAAGATATGTCAGGTAGTGAAGACGACTCTGAAAGTGGATCAGAAATGGAGGAGTAGGGTTTATAGACCACCGTGAAACCCATGCTCACCACCAGATGAATAAAGATTTCTGTGTCGCCTGCTCTCTATACAACCACCCTTTCTTTATAAGTAGTACGAAATGCTCTTGGTAGGAGTACACATAGACTTTTATTTACTTGGCTTATCGCAGAGAATGCGCAGTAAATACGTTTAGAGTAGCTTTAACTTTACGTCTAGTGCGACAAAGTTTTGTGCTACCTCTTCTGCTAGATAATCCGTTTGATATATCACTAAAAGGTATTCAATGTGTGGGTCGAGTAGTTGCAACAACACAGAACGATAGTCCATTCAAGATCTTCTCAACAGTCATATTTATACACTAATGCGACGAAAATTCCTTCCCCAAACAAGAAACGAGAAAAACCACATTGCGAAATACAACCAAAGTCTGACATCAATCGTGCCAGATTGAACAAATCCCTCAAAAAGTGGTGTAAATCATCTCTCTCGTAAATACATACAAGGAAGTTAGCTCTCAAAAGGGTAGACGCCAGCAATGCCTCCCGCCCTCAGCAGCCGCGGTCGTAGATTTTGCATATTCGGAGAATGCCAATGTAAAAGTGAGTTCGGTCGAAATTCGAATGGTAAGAAGGTGGGGTTTGGGGAATCACATAAAGAAAGAAACCAGAACGGATAAGGAACGTACACACGCAACGCCGCTAGGTTGGTGGCATATTCGCCGAAAACGCCCCCAACAAAACCTGAGTTGAGCAAATTCTGATCTTCGTGGTGAGACAACTGCTGGAAGCCGAACTATGCATCTTCGGGTAAGATACGCGCAAAGTGCTTTTCCCAAATCCATCCTACTGTTTTTGTTTGATCGTCTTGATTCCGCGCAAGCCATAGCTCACCCTTCATACCAATAACATCGAAAATCTCGCCCGGTACATACACGAGATATGGTATCCCGCCTTCGCGCCGATCATGAGCAATGTTGAACTCGAAGAGACTGGCTGCTAAGAAGAGTACTTCTGGCTCGTCGGTGTCCGCAGGTGTAGTAGGGAGATCCTCAACACTACCACGGGCAGGAGAATCCGACATTGGCAGAGCTGAGTTAAAGACACCAGATGCACGAGTAGATCCCGGTAATGATGCTGGCTGAGAGGTAGGCGCAGAGAAAGTGTGGATGGTGGGTTGCGAAGGTGAGAGGAAGGATGGACCAAGTTGAGGTGGGAAATCAAATGCGTTGACGCTCAGCGGTGAGTGCTCGATGTCTACTGCACCGTCCAGATTCATGTAGTTATGGTTGTTGCGAGAGGGACCAGTATTGCGCCGCTCTTTGCGAACTACAGTGGCGTCACTGTTGTCAGATGTAGGGCTGAGTGCACGGGCTTCCCGTAATGAAGTAGGTCCCGGACCAGCCCGACCTGATGTGTTAGGTGGGTAGAGAGAAGGATACGCTGGTCCTGCAGGGGAAGAACGCGGTGGGTTGTCGAGACTTCGTGGATGTGATCGAGGTGCATATCCACCACTGTTGCGGGTCTTTAAGTCGAGCATTGATGCCTCGCTCCCGATGGACTCAGTACGACGCGACGATGAGTTGCGTGACGACGCACCACCGTCGGAAGAGAGCGTTGGAACGGGAGACGTCATATTGGAGATGTCAACCAGGAGGTTCCGGTTGATGATGCCTAGTCTGTTTGCAAGATCCTGCATCGGTTTGTAGTCTCCGTGGAAGCGTTCGACGTACGATTCTAAGTCATAACGAAGGGATGTCGTGTGCTGGGGTTCGCTTTCAAGGAGCGGAAGGATCTTTTTCGAGCAAGTCTTGTACCAATCCTTCTGCAAACACATGAACAGAGTCATGAGCGTGCGCATGAGGCCTTTTGTTCTTTCGTAGAGAAGAGGCAACTCATGTTTGAGAGTGTCATTGATCGTACTGAACTTTTTGGACGACTCCTCTATGTCGGGGTCGATCTTTTCCCCACGGTCGAGTGCTTGCTTGTGCTTAACGTAGTACAGCAGGTATTTCTTGCGTTGCTCGATAGTTTTCTGATAAGAGACCCACATCTCCCAGAGGTCGCCTACAGGCTTCAAAACCCGGCTTCGAACAGCAGCTTTCTGTGAGATGGTTAGCTGAATGTTAATGGCTCGATCTTCTGGTACTTACGTGCTCTTCCAACGCCTTGTTCTGCAGCTCGAAATGGGCCATTGCCCACTTTCGCCACGTACTCTCAATTTCTGGGTACACAGATGGCGCTACTTCGCAGACGGTGATGAAACCCAAGAACACGATATTGAGCTGGAGGTAATGCTCCGTAATCGAATCAAGATACTGTTCGAAATCACGAATAACAATCTGAAGTTGGAAAAAGTGCCCTCCGAACTTCTGCTCTTTAGACTTGTAGTCCTGATCCTTGAAGGTCTTGTCGGCCTCGTCATATGCCTTGCTCTTATCGACCTTGGGAATAAAAGCCTTGACAAAAGTCTTGCCCAGTCCGCTTTTCTTCTCCTTCTTGCCTTCAGAGGCGGCAGCGCGGAAGGTATCGGAACGTGCCTTGGCCTGGTTGATACGCTGACTCATTGCTCTCAATTCCTCATGAGCTTCTTTGATTTTCGGTAGATCGGGATGGTCTGGATCTGTAATTTCTTGCAAGGACTGGAGGATCAATGGATACTTCAACAGGCGCTGGCATGGCTTCAACAACAAAGAGTCCAAGTCCCAGGCTTGAGTCATGTTCTCTACTTGCTCGAAGCAAGCAGTGACCCATCCAGATAGAGTTTCGTTGCCGTGGTTCTTCTTGATATAAGCACTAGCATTATCTTGATTAAGGAAATATGTCGTGTAGAGCCGCTCCATCTTTTCCTTGTTATCGAGAAAAACTTGGCCAATGGTGGTCAATCGATCATTTTCCAGAGTGCAATTCTCGAACTGATTCGGGGAATCCTCAGATGGTCGCCGAGCATGCATTGGTGATTCTCCGGAGTCATAGGATTTACCGTCGGAGGAATCACGGTTCCAGGGTCCACTTGGGGGTGATATCTCGTAGTTGACAATAGGCTTCGCAGCCTTCTTGAAGGCACGAAATAGCGACAGAGAGAACTTCTCTAATTCCTTGCAATTGCTGAACAGCAATCTCTTTTCCTTCTCGCTCATCAGATTCGACGCGGTTGCTTCAAAAATGTTGTGCGCGATCATCATGTCTATGCAGAACTGATGCTCAGTGTGAAGCAGCTCTTGTAAGGTGCGATATCGCTTTATTAGAGCTTGCTTGGCAGGGTCAGGCTGACCGTTTTCGCCTTGCTCGGCTTCACATGGCACATCTACAGTAGATTCGATAGGTTGTGGGGTACCATATCGGTCCTCGAGACTTTGTTCGTGAACGTGAAGAACAGGAGTGCGTGACCGAGCGGGGTGCATTTCGAATTTGTCGTCGTTGAGCATGGGTCGTGAGAGCTGTTGATGTTGTGGCGTAGAGTTGTACGGATTGGATCGAGAGGAGAGTTGCTGATCAATGGATGGATTCACAGGGGGAGGCGGTGGGGAGTAGTTGGGACGGGGAGGCGCTGGAAGTGAATGCGGCATACTGTGTTGTAAGTCAAGTCCAAGTCCACCATTGGTCCATGCAAGTTGTGGAAGTTCAATGCGGTTAGCTGCAACTGACTTATGCTCATCCGTTGACGTTCGTGATAGTGCATTGTGAGAAGGGTCACCAGAAGAGCTGCCAGAATGAGACGCATCTTCCTGTATGGTTGTGGTGGTAGAGCCTGCCGATTCCCGTGAATAGCGCCGCGAGGACGAAGTATAAATGATCGCCGTGCCGCCGACATGTGATTCTGGTGTGCCTTGCTGCAGCTGCGGCGTATATGAGTCTGGACGCGATGGGGATGCTACTCTCTCGGGCTCAGGCCTCTCCTTATCGTGTTTTGAACCATTAGCGTCGCTCAGCAACCGAGCGAGATATGATTCTGTGGACTCTTTCGATGCCCAATCTTTGTGCTGTGCGATGACGGGTGAGACCTGCTGCACCCTTTCTCTGGATATCGATGCTAACTCAGGGGAAATAACTGGCGATTGATGGTACATGTTCAAAACTGAGTTCACAACACTGTAAGTTTCATTGTTCAGCGTCAGTGATCCAAGTGTTCGGTAGGGAGCGACGCTGGCTGAGTCATCCGGATAAAGGGTGTCCCGCTTAGGAAGCAAATCTCCTGGCGATCCTTTTGTATCGTGTCGAGACATGGACGGCATGTCTCTAGTGTCGTGTGCTTGGTCGGACGTGTACCCGTATGACAAAGCCTTGAGGCCGGCGCTGAAGCTCTCCGAGTCGGCCTCCCATGGTTCTGATGGCGGCTCCTCGCTAAGCATAATTGGTATTGATTCTCTGACACCTAGCTCCGACTTCTCCATCTCAGGCGATTGCGGAGCAGGCCTCTGCGGCGGAGGGTGGAAAACGTGTGGCTGCAAGAGCTGTTGCTCCGGCTCGGGATGCGCGGTAGGCGGCGTAAGAATGAAGCTTCCTGGTAGACCCAACACAGGCGATTCGTCAAAGTCGGTCACGGCTGACGCTGGTTGCCCGAGAACTGGTACGGACAAGCTAGATGTCTGAAGGCTCAGGTGCTGTTGCTCTGACGAGGGTGACGAATGCTCATCCCGTGGAATGCGCTGCGTCTGCGCACGGATATCATGGGGTTGCTCGATCTCAGCAACGTCGAGTAGCCCCGCAGGTTGCTCTTGTGGGGGATCGAAGCTGCTCGCAAGTGGAAAATATTCCTGCTCACCATGGGGGCCGGTACTTGTCGAGCGGGATGCGGGTGAAGGCTGGAGCGGCTGTCTTTCTCTTGAGTTGCGCAAGCGAGGCGACGTTGGTGGAGGCGGGGCGTTGACGACGGCAGAAACACTTGGTCCGCTTCTCGCACCCAAGGGCGACTTCCCTCTCTCGCGATATCCACGGTAAGCTAATGCGGGGAGCGTTGACTGGTCTGTGCCTCGGGAGGAGACTGGAGCGACGGCCGCAGCCAGAACCCTGTCCATTCTCGTCGGCGAGGCGCGGTTGCTGTGGTTCATTGCGCGGGTTGGCGTGTATTTGACGGACCGTGTCGACGAGTTGGAGTCTGAGCCGGCGCTCAAACGCCGTGTCGCTACTGGAATCCTCGAACGTGGCGTGTGCCGTTGAGGCGACCGTGCTGTAGTTTGTTCTTGCGCATGTGCCTGTGGACGTGTGGTGGGTTGCGCGTCGTCGGCCATGGCTGATGTCGCAGTACTCGCGGACCGTCCATGGTGCGAGCTGCTGAACGAGGACGAGGGTTGTGCAGTGTCTCCGTGTGGGTTCTCGAAAACGGGGATTCCGAAGCCTGGCGACAATGCATCCTGCCCAGTCAGCACTTCGCCGAACAGCTGCCTCCCGCTTGGTGCTGACGCCCGATTCGGCGAGGTCACCTTCTTGGGCGTTGACGTTGACGAGACGTGCTGGTCGATGCTGCTCCTGCTGCCGTTTGTCCTTCGCGCACTTCGGGTAGCTGCTGGGGCGGGCTGTGGGCGGTCTCGCGGCTTCAGGTTGTTGAACTTGTGCGGTCCGTACGAGGCTTCTTTGCTTGGGCGTGCAGCCGATGCAGTCGACGAGATGGACGCATTCGTACGTCTGGTGGCCGAGTCGTGTGCCCCAGCCCGGCTCGGTGTCCTAGATCTCGAGCGCACTGCAGGCGAAGAGGCCGTCGAGCTGCCTCCGGGCGACTGCTCGAACCGCTCTGCCAGGGCCCGGACCTTGTTGGAGACCTGAGGGGAGGAGCGAGTTGCTGCGGGCGGCGATGCAGGACCAGAAGCAGACCTCGGGGTCGCTTTGGGTGTTGTGCGCGCACCGTTCGTCATGGGCTGCCGCGGCCGCGTTGCGGGCATGTCGATGCCGCGTTGCGGTGAGGGAGGTGCTGTGTGCTCGGTCGTAGTATAGGCGGAGTAGTAGTGCTCGGGCGAGGTTCCCAGCTCTTGGTCGGCATGGTCGAGCTCAGTCGACTGCAGCCAGTGTGAAACAGAGAGGCCGGGGTCGAATGCATATTCATGCGCTTGATCAGAATCCATATCCCATAGTCGGCGAGCGCAAGGGCGCAAAAGCAAGGCAGCGCCAACGTCGTAGGAAGAGGTGGTCCAATCTCGACCAACAAGGGTTGCCAACTCACACTCGGCTGCTCTCGATTACAAGGCGTCTGGGCCAATGACGGTGTCGAGGCCAGTGGTGCCCCGAGTCGACGAGTTGATATGTTTCAGCCTGAAAAGCAAGCGGACTGGTTCCCGATACGGCGCGCTTGTGAGAGGTTCTGAACTGTCTGTGTCAGATCAACAACTGGAGCCCACACGGTCCATCTAAACTCCGTCGTTAACATGCAGCTAGGAAGCGGGATACCGGCGCCGCTCTTGATGGGGCGGCACGCGGCGACGGTCTGGCCTTTGCAGCCAGCAGACACATGTCGATATACTCAGTGTATGCAATGTATGCCGCCTTGGTACTTTGGGCCAAGGTTCGATGATCCGCATGCTCTCTCGCGGCCTGCTTATCCATCCGTGCTTCTTGAAGGGTATGGGATGATAGCATCCCGCTTCCCCAGCCCGTAGCCTCTACCAGCACTAGCGGGTCGTGCTAAACTTCCTTCCAAGGATAGCCGTGTTTTACGTATCCAGGGGTAGGTAGATCTGTAGATGCAGCTGACCTAAGATCGTTCCATGTGCATCTTTGTTCCATTGCCATCCTTCAATGGTATTCAGAGTCAGGTATAATGACCATGATGATGGGGTTTCCACGTGGCACAAAAGAAGCTAGTCCCAAACAGGAGAGCGTGGATCCATCCACACCCGACTCCTGAAGGGTGCGTTATAACAATAAGACAGAAGCCTCAACTTAGAGACGCGATGGTTAAAAGACTCATGCGATTGACGTCGTATTCTTACGTATGCGTAGCCAGCTCAACGAGAAGTGGTGGTGGGGTTCGAGATGCTCGCGGCGCCAAGAGTACAAGATAGCTATGAGTGCATCAAAAAGAACATAAATGCTCCGATAAGATACGTGATCCACTTGTTTTAGGTGGCAGGCTTGTTGCAGATAGTTGCTAATTCAAGTTTCGCATCTTTCGAATATTACTTTGTAGAGTGTCAGCGTAATAAACATGTATCCATCGATGGAAGAAAAACTGTCTCTAGTTCCACTAGTCAGAGTACCCTCTTCAAGGAAACAATCGAACAATTACTAACAATGTTCTTCTTTAGCCTGCTAGAAAGGAGTAACACAAGTGTTCTATGCAACATTCATGATTTGGGCGTCCTTATTAATAAGAGTGTTTCTAGGAGTTCTGCTATGTGCTCTTGTGCACAGCATTGTGGTAGAAGAGCTTGCGTAAGGTGTTCAGTTGCTTCCTTTTAACATGCGATAAGCGTGCATGTATCCCTGAACAGGATATTGCGGCTCCAACATAACTGAGCTGCTTGTAATTCAACCATGCCGTGCAGACAGTCATTAACAGCTAGGTTACTGAGAGGGCGCAATGTCAGCACAATACCGTGTACTGTGACATTCTAGGTACGCAACCTAGACATGAACACCGGAAGCGCCCTCGACTTTTGGTCTCAACGGATGTCGTCAAGCCAGCGTCGCAGCACACGAAAAAAAAACATCACGTAAACATGTAATGTACGACCAATCATTGCGCTCTCTCCCACTGCAAAAGCAGGGAGAAACCGCACCCAAGATCAGCCAAAGTATTCCTCTCCACTTCACAGACGGTTTTCGTTCTCATGGAAACCTCACACCGTCCGTAGACGACGGGTCTCTCCAAAGAAAATGCTTTTCGTGAGTGTGCAAATTTTTTGCGTTGTTCAATGAAGAGGAAAGCCAGGGCCGGCGGCGGAAGAGATTTTGTTCAGAAGACCGGCGGAACCTTTCGCCGTGGGCGCTTTGACGCTGTGCGCAGCCCCGCCACAAGTGGGCTGTTCCGAATCTGGGTTTGAGTCACTTTGTGTGGGATTTGAAGTCGAAAGTTGCCTGCCGCCAGTCTCCACAAAGGCAACACTACGATAGACGAATCCAATCTCTCGACAACCATCCACACTTACAATCCAACCATCTCCCGAACAGCTAACCCTCGGAACAAATTGCCCACCATGGAGTCCGAGTCCGACCACGACCACCGCGATGACGAGAGCGTGTCTGAGCAAGAGGACATCGAGGACACGAAGCCAAAGTCCGCGTTGAAGAAGGGCCGGGAGCCAGTGGCGCCCGTGCAACGCCCAGAGCTTCCGTACGTGTTGAACATATGAGGCTCTACGCCAGATAGCTAACGCGCACAAGCGAACAACCAGACCCAAGCACACTTGACCTCACTACGCTCAACCCGCTGTCGCCTGAGATCATCTCCCGCCAAGCTACCATCAACATCGGAACCATTGGCCACGTCGCTCACGGAAAAAGTACTGTGGTGAAAGCCATCTCCGGTGTGCAGACCGTCCGTTTCAAGAACGAACTAGAGAGGAATATTACCATCAAGCTCGGTTATGCCAACGCGAAGATCTACCAATGCGACAACCCAGAGTGCCCACGCCCAACATGCTACCGGTCATACAAGAGCGACAAGGAGGTCGACCCAGCTTGCGAACGTGAAGGATGTGAGGGCAAATACAGACTGAAGCGCCACGTCTCTTTCGTCGACTGCCCTGGCCACGACATTCTCATGAGCACTATGTTGTCAGGTGCTGCCGTCATGGACGCTGCACTGCTTCTGATCGCTGGAAACGAATCTTGCCCGCAACCGCAAACCAGTGAACATCTTGCTGCCATCGAGATCATGAAGCTGAACCACATCATCATCCTTCAAAACAAGGTCGATCTGATGCGGGAAGACAGCGCTGCGTCGCATTACGAGTCTATCCTGAAGTTCATCCGAGGAACTGTTGCCGATGGCTCACCCATCATTCCCATCTCCGCCCAGCTCAAGTTCAACATTGATGCTATCAACGAGCACCTCATTAGCAAGATCCCCGTTCCAGTACGAGACTTTACTGCGAAGCCACACATGATTGTCATCCGATCCTTCGACGTCAACAAGCCTGGTGCTGAAATCGATGAGCTCAAGGGTGGTGTTGCTGGTGGCAGTATCCTGACTGGTGTACTAAAGCTGGGAGACGAGATTGAGATCAGGCCTGGTATTGTCTCAAAGGACAGCGCCGGAAAGATTCAGTGCAAGCCCATTTTCTCAAGAGTAGTGTCTCTATTCGCTGAGCACAACGATTTGAAGTTCGCTGTTCCAGGAGGACTGATTGGTAAGTAATTTTTGTTGCAGCATCATCAAGTTCTTGATTAACACGTTCTAGGTGTCGGTACACGCGTTGACCCTACTTTGTGTCGTGCGGATCGTCTCGTCGGTTTCGTTCTTGGTCTCCGTGGACATCTTCCTAACATCTACACTGAGCTCGAAGTCAACTACTTCCTTCTCCGAAGATTGCTTGGTGTCAAGACTGCAGACGGCAAGCAGGCCAAGGTAGCCAAGCTTGCAAAGAATGAAGTTTTGGTAGGTCTCGATCTAGTCTGTGTTCAGAATATGGCTAACAATCGCAAAGATGGTCAACATCGGATCAACTGCTACCGGTGCCAAGGTTGTGGCTGTCAAGGCTGACGCTGCTCGTCTATCGCTCACCTCGCCTGCATGCACAGAGATCGGTGAGAAGGTCGCGCTGTCTCGACGTATCGAGAAGCACTGGCGTCTTATCGGTTGGGCCAACATCGTAGCGTGAGTTTCACGGCACTTCTAATTTCGTCCACAAGCTTACAAGTCTTTTAGCGGTAACATCCTCCAACCCATTGTCGACTGAGCGGGGGTAGAGAGTAGTGGGGTAGCTCACAAGGAGTGGAACGACAAATCTTATGACGGGACGACGTAGACGTGGGGCGTACGATGGCAAAACATGTGCATTTGGTTCCTCAGCATTTCCTGCCGGAGTCGGTTGTGCTTGGAGAAAGGCATCAAAAGTGGGTTTTCTCGCAGCTGTGTTTTGGACAGCATCTAGAAGCCACAACAGCAGAGGTCTAGCGTCACTCGAGAGCGAGCGTCTTGTGTATCAGTACGTTCTCCAGCTCAGGGTAGCCGCATGTAATGAAACATGATCGATCCACTAGAAGTGTTGAGAATGCGGATGACAGCGGATCCACAGGCGGAAAGTTGGCCGATTTTCACATGAAAGCCATTCTCAGTGACACATGCGGGAGCATGGCCTAACAACGTCAGATCAGCGTGCTAGCCTACATGTGCCTCATAGTCCCCTCACTGCACGTTCGTACGACTTCTCCGCTCACAGTATTTAATTTGATTGCCTATACGAGGTATGTTTGCGAGGCTCCAGTAATTATGCCTGTATAAGGCCGAGCACACGTTCACGTGCACTGACTCGGGGTTAGAGTTCAACTTACGTTCCATTCCAAACAACGCAACAATTATACGAATACGCGGCTCCGTTTGTGCTGCGAACCATAGCTCGTATCTTTTTTTTGCTTCTTGACGCTCGCTGTTTATATTGCCTTTATCCTTTATTGTAATTGCAAGCCTCGATTGCGTCTGCACACATCACAACAAAGTTTGCGGAACCCTGCCCGCGTCGGAACTGGAGCGCGACGGCTATGGAAGAAGACCCTTCGAAGGCGAACGCGGCACCACCTCCGCTGCATATCTACCGCCCCATCCCGCGTCGCAACTTCGAATCCAACTACGACACGGCCGATTCGCCCACACACGCCTTCTCGCAATCCACGCCTCCAAGCGCGACTGAGAATCGGAGATCATCCGACTTCCTCGCTCAGCTGAACGCTCGCTTGCTGGGAACATTCAACTCTCGCGATGACGACTCGGACGATCAGGAGAGAGACAGGGGTCCTCCGCAGCGGAACAAGAGTTACTTGAACATGACGAGTAGCACTCTGTCCGGAATATACGATGAGACGGGTGTCAACACAGCTGGCGAATTGAGCACGGCGGAAACGCCATGGGGAACTGGTGCCGAGACACCCGCACACACAGCCATGGGCCTCCAATCCTGGGAAACCGGTATGGGAAGCCCTGATGGCGGAATGGCCTTGAAGAACCAGGCCAGGAAAGGGTCAAATATGGGCAAAGCTGAAGGACGACAAAGGAGTCGCTCAATCAAACAGCCGCGCCGCGGTGTATGGAAATACTCTGTGATTGCAGGAAAGCTTGTAGCGTTGTACGTCTTCGGTGTCATCTACGGAGTCATTGTCTCGCATCTTCACGAGACGAGGCAACTGGCAGCTGTACACGTTGAAGGTGTCGATCGCAAGAGTCAGGCATACCTTGTCTCCTGGGGGTTGTTCGGAGTTGCTCTAGGAAGTTTGCTACCATACGTTGATCTCTTGTGGGATGCGCAGCGGAAAGAGAGCCAGATGGAAGACAAGGAGGCAGAGACACATGATTCACCCATTAGTGAGCAGATCAACGATGTGGTGAGGAGTGTGGCAGCCTTTGTAGGGATTGCATTTGCCATTGTAAGTCTCCACCGACCGACTCCTTCTATGCTTTGTGATACATGGACATGGACTAACGCTACTCTTCTCAGCGTCGTCTCCCCTGGCAATCAACCCTCCAACTGACCTTGACTCTGGCCCTCGTGAACCCCGCCCTATGGTATATACTCGATCGCTCGAAACCCGGCCTTTCCGTCTCACTCACCGTCACGTCGATTCTCACCTCTTTCATATTCCTGTCCAATCCAGATGTTCTTCCCTCGCCGTCTCTACCATCCACCACAAACGCCACACAAGTCCCATCCATTGGCAGCCATACGCACACAAAAGGAAGACCAGCTCCAGTTGTTACACCAGAACTGTTTGCTGGTATGGTCAGCTACGAGAACCTAGCTGTTGTTACGTGGGTTGGCAGTGTCCTGTTCTGTAGTTGTGTTTGCTTCGGGAGTATAGGCAGGAGGTTGGCTGTGCTGGAAGAGAGTGGGTGGAAGAGGTGATGTTCCTTGGTTGAAAACTATAGATAATTGAGGGATTATATTGGATATTGTTGCACAACTATGGTGCTGCTTTGTCGGATAGGTTTGCGGACGGTTTGGGGCGTCCGGTCAAAATTGAAGCTATTGATCCTATGTTGGACATCTCTGGATTCCGGTTTCATTCCTCATTGGTATATGCTGACCTTTGGTATGACTCCAACCACGGAAAGAATTGAATGTCAACCCTCTCTCTAGACTACTATGCTAACTCGAACTGCGTAGTCATGTAAGCGAATCGTCTATCCAGAAGCCTGTATGAGTACAGAAACCTCGAACATGTAAGGATAATGTATCGTTATGGACTGCAGTGTAGTAGGAGAAATCTTGTGTGACTAACGCTCTCTTTATTGTAAGTGATCACATTTCTTTCGGTACTAGCACTGCAGAAAGATACAACCGCGAAAGAAGTACACCAAAACTACATTTCATTATATCAGCCAAGAAAATCGGAAGCAAAAACAATCATCTTTTACCACGTAACCCGTGAGATTCACACGGAGGCAAAAAAGATGTGTCGCAAATTGGCGGTACTGGGAACTATAGACATGTTAGTAACAATGTCTCAGTAAACCGACTCAATGTAGGGGAACGTACTCGAACCCAGGCTGGCGCGGATCTGGATCAGGACAAGCTAAGTTGTCCGCCAGCCACAACGCGACGTCATACCACTAGACCATACCACGATAGGGCTGTTAGCTGGTGTGTAGTCGGTATGGAGGTATTGATGCTTACCCTTAGTGATTTGTTTTGATGGGAAATTTTGAATTTATTACATTTATATAGTTACCATAAACCAGGGAGATCTCATTAGCGCTTAATCTTTTGGTAAGTCATGTCCGGCAACGTAGAAAAATCTGATCAGTGAACTCGGTTGTGGGCAGCGGTACATAGTGGGGACTATGAGTCAAGTTAAAGGCATCGTGGGGAAAGCATGCAGAGCCGAGTGGAGAACATGAGCAAGTGGGCACGGTTGGCACCTTCGAAAAGCGACTACAAAGACTCTTACTCGAGACTTCCATTCAGTACAAAATAAAATCTCACTTGCATTTGGACTGTTCCTTGAGCACACTGCATGTACAGGTCGGAGAGACGCGTAGGGTTCTTCTATGCTTTCTCGGATACATCATCTCTTCATACATGTCCTTTGTCTCATAATCATCAATGCTTTGCAAGCCACTATAGGCTGTATAAGATCAACGGCTGACGCCACTTATGACTCCAACTTAGAGAGAATACGTTCCTACTCTATTCCCTAGCTCGGAGCCCCACGTCTCTCCCTTGTAGATTTCGAATACCATCTTCCGTGCTTTCTTTGGTTCAGTCTCGCATTCAATGCTAAGTGATACACGGGAAACATCTTTCTACAGGAAGCTTACTGCGCCTTAGAAAGCTTGGCCCTACTAGCAGCAAGAGCAGCGGACAGACTGAACTGGGTGTTGATACCGTCAATGCGGTGGACAGCGTTAAGGTTCTTGACGCAAGTAATCTGGAAGCAAGTGGCAGATCCCTGGCGGGAGGCAATCGTAGAGTAGGCGAGGAAGTATTCCCAGATCTGGCGGGTGGTTAGCACCTAGCAATAAAAGGACAAGAAAGTTGTTCTTACCTTGAACCATCGGATTCCGTACTTGGCAACAACCTTCTCCTTGTTGGCGAGCCAGTTGCGGTACCACCTCCAGAGAGTGGCAGAGTAGTGTACACCGATAGTGTCAACCATCTTGACCTCAAAACCAGCACCCTCGAGGGTGTCGATGACGAAACCTAGAGGAGTAGAAGCATCGGCGCCAGGGAAGACGTATTTGTTCATGAAAAGACCCCAGGTGAAGTCCTCGAATTGCCAAGCCTTACGGAGACCAGCAATCTGAAGGAAGAAGACACCGTCATCATCGAGCATATCATAGACCTGACGGAAGAAGCCGCTCAAGTGGCGGACACCAACGTGCTCAGCCATCTCGAGACAGGTAATCTTGTTGTAGCCACCAGGAGGGAGAGGGATGTCGCGGTAGTCCATGCAGAGAATCTTGGATTGGTCTTCTTCGATACCAGCCTTCCTGAGGCCGTTGTTGCCCCAAGCAGTCTGGTTGCGACCGAGAGTAACACCAGTAGCGTGGGCACCGTAGTTGACCGAGGCAAACTTGGTAAGAGTACCCCATCCGCAACCAATATCGAGCATCTTCTCGCCCTTCTTCAGTCCGATCTTTTCACAGACGACTGACATCTTGTTGTCCTGTAGCTGTTCGAGACTCTCCTCAGTGTTGATGTCGGAGATGATACCGGAGGTGTAGATCATGCGGGGACCGAGGAACCAGCCGTAGAAGTCGTCACCGCGGTCGTAGTGGTCGCGGACCTGTTCCTCGTCTGATGTCGGGTCAGCATGTATATAGTTTGCGAATGATGGGAGCACCAACCCTGAGACTTGGAGTGGACAATCATTTCTGGGATCATGCCAAAGAGGAAGTGCTTGATCAATCCGAGAGTGAAGCGGGGCTTGGACCAGTCGTGGCGCCATTCGAGAATCTCGAGCATGTCGCCATTGAGCTCTACCTCGCCGTCGAAGTACTTCTCCTGGAACGTCTCGATGGGGATCTGCTTCTTGCCATAGTATGCGTCGCGGTCCTCGGGCTTGGTGAACTTGAGGTAGTGCTCAATGGGCTTGCCGGGAAGTTTGGCCTTCTCGTTCTTGCGGGGTGCAAATTCAGAGGTGAGCCACCAGAAGGGTCCTAGGATAGGGAGGAACAGAACGAGGGCTAGGAAAACCCATGTCTTGAAGCCCATACCCCAGCTCCAGGTGATGTAGGCGGGGATGCCCACCAGCAGCGAGATGAGGGCATAGTTGTTGAACGAGTCACGACCGGAACCTTCAGCGGGTAGGGGAGCATTCGCAATGGTCGGGTACTGTCAGACATGGAACGTCAGCGTGCTAGCTCTTTGTGTTGATGCTCAATGGCTGGCGGGGTCGCTCGTTAAACTGTCCAGATGCAACAACTTACCGAAGTTGTCTTGACGCCGCAGTCGAAGGCGGGCGTCGTGGGCGAGGGCGCCGGTGGCGTCTCAACCCACTCAAAGTTCTCCTCAGAGGTATTGCTGCTCATCTTGCGCACTGCTGAGCAATTTTGCAAGATGGGAAGCAAACGTGTTGGGATCTGGGAGGCTTTAACGGCGGTGAATCTAAGCGAACACCCACCGGGGTTGCGCTTGCCCCTGCAGATGGTCGACTAGCTCCAAACATTTAACAGCACACCGACGGCGACTCCCATGGATGTGCGCGATATACGTTGCAGTATTGCTAGCACAACTCTGCTGGTGATAAGGATTATGGGGCGTGAACAAACTTGCAATATCTACAACTCAGTACGCTTGGACATGGAATATAATCTCCAGCCTCTTTATACAGCATGTGCACTCGCTCTTTCTTCGGTCGTATACGCGTATGATCCATACACGCTTCTTCCATCAACAATCTGTCTTTCAATCCCGTACAGGTAGGGACAATTTTCAGATTCTGCCAAGCCATGTTCACAAACATAGGCGGGGCACGCTCAAGACACGTTTACTAGTAGCTTCCCCCTGACAAAGTCCACCTGCTCCTTGGCAACACCGGCTTTCTCCAGGTACCCCTCAACGCTGCCGTACTTTTCCAGTAGATACGAGTGTACACTGCTCACCAAGTCTGGAGGACATATCGCAAATTGTTCTGTCAGACCAACAGATGCCATCTCTTTCAGCCTTCCTTCTTTCTCTGGCTCAAGTTCTGGCTCGGACAGTCGGTAGTCGTCGTCAATCGTCTTTTGGTCGACACCGAGAAGCAAGAGAACCAGCATAACTATGAGCCCGGTCCGGTCCTTGCCCTGTGTACAGTGGACTAGAACTGGCCAATTCTGCTCTTCTCCCAATACATCGAAGACCTGCCTGACTTCTCGTGTGCATACGTCTAGGGATTGCTCGGCCAGACCGACGAGCCCCATGTCTTCCATATGAGGAGCTAAAATCTTGATAGCGTCCTTGCGGTAGCCGACAATCATAAGTCCCGCCAACCTGAAAAACTCGAGCCATGTAAGCTTCGAGAGCAACATGCGCGAGAAGGCCGAGCCATTAAAGTTGATTTCATGATAGGTTATGCCGGGTATCTTGAGGGGCTCTGCTACATCGTCGTTGCTCTGAGGAATTGCCGCTGATGCTTTGATCCTTGCATCATGCTTTTGCGCCTGTTCGATGTGCTCCGTTCTATGCTGGTCAGTACGATATCGGCGCCGGCCACTTGTATCTGCGCACTTTGTTCGTAGATCAATAATGCTCTTCACGCCGAACTCTTTCAAGAGTCTCTGCCTGTCTTGGAAAGAAGCCTCATCTTCTATAGTCAGCCTCGCGCCAAGATATGTGTGTAAGATACGCACCAGGTCGGGCGCTCCGGAACAGTAAGCCGTTCCTTAGATGGCTGCAGCATGGTCAGCCAAAGATCCACTTCGCCGTGCTTTAGTGAAATACCGAGTTCCTGTCGTCTGATTGACAAATTCACTGACATCGCGAAAGTTCAATATGCTTTTCAGCGGCGTTTGTAGTTCAGTCATGTTTACTACGCTCAACCTTGCGAGGCTAAAATTGGTGGTATAGTTATTTGCTGGATCAAGGCGGAATGTCGAAATCTGGTGACGTAGTTAAGTTGGCGCTAACCGCATGTAATCCAACCTGCAACTTTGCTTCTGAAGCCAAACACCCACCAGTGGAGGTGCTCGGGCATCACGACAATAATCAGGACAGAAATGCGCCATAATCGTTTGTAGCTCTAAGATCTTAAACTACGCTGCTATGATCACCGCGTTCCAACTGGATGCAGTCCATAAAAACTTATTGATCTCGCGGACGTACAGTACAGACAATGGAACTTGGCTTTCGTGTTCCACAATGCCACGGCGCAACGTTGTATCCCAAATGATGTGCTTCATTGTTTCATTCGCACGACGCAGGTTCGTGATCTCCAGATGTGCGCAAGGGTGCGGGCAGACAGGATGGGCCCTCCTGGACGCACTTGATACGTGATTTGACCACTTCGGTCAGTCCGTCGCATTGCTTCCGTCTGGAAAGGCATGGTCATGGTCTGGCGGAGGCTAGAACCAGACCCAAGAGGGTAAGGCTGAGATTTTCCACGCGGAACGCACGCTCGTTCACGGCGATCACAGTTACATGACATCATTGCTACCTTCTCGCCATTTAGCCATGAAGGGCGCCACAGTCTGTATCCCTCGCTGGCGGTTGCCTTCCCTTCTTAACTCTTGTGATCACCCTCAAAGCAGCGCTTGGTTTGATTGCATCTTGCACCGACACGCTATTTCACAATGGCGACGACAGCCCTTGCCGCGAGTGCGCCCCCCACTGCTGACAGCAGACCCTTGAAGGGGACGGAAGAGGCGGCTCCACCACGATCCTCTGCCGAGACGAACATGCGTTGCCCTGACCCATCCGCGCATTCGCATCAGTCAAAGAACAGCGCATTGCAAAACCAGGCGTCTGCAGCAGCGCTATATTCCCATAACCACGGTGGCCCGGCCAAAGCAAACGTAGCGAAACCCATCAACCCGCTCGGAGCCGACGGCAAGCTCTCATCAGCGAGTGAGTGCGAAGTTGTGATGATCTAATTACATCATATGCTAACAAACATTCGTAGGCGCTGCTACAAGTCTCAAATACGCAAAGGCCCAAGACCTTCCCAGCTATCCCGTCGTTGGAATCGACACTCAATCTTCTGCCGGAGCTGCCGCGCTGCTCGCGAACCAGAACAAAAAGAGTCCGGAGTGGTGGAAGCCCGAAGCATCCTCCGCCGCAGGCAAGGCTGCGTTGCTCGCAAACGGTTATAAGATGGCTCCCATGTGGCAACCAGAAGCAAGCGCGGCAGGCTCAAAAGCAGCGCTTCTCGCCCATAGAGACGGCGCAAAACTGAACCTGTGGCACCCGGAAGCCAGTGCTGAAGGTCATTCTGCTGCTACCATCGCTATGAGCAAGAAGGGGCTTGGCCCAGAGGTCGACTATGGATACACTGATCAGGGCAGGAAGAACGCCTTCACTGCGGCTACCGATGCGCACTCCGCATCGAGGCGTAAGCGTGCTCAGTCAAACCCACCAACTGCGCCCCTGTATCCAGACTCGAAGAATTCGGCCAGGAATGCATTGGGCGCAGCAACACTCGCTCATAGTGCGTCCACTCGAGCCAAACCACAAGCTAGTCCTGCTGATTTCAACCACCGCGGACATGGTGCTATGGAAGCTGCACGCATTCAGCATGCAAAGAGCATATCGCGCGACATGTACACCAGCACTCCGCCTGTTGCATTAGAGACAGAGGAGAAGAGGCACAACGACGCTCTCCGAGCTTCTGCCATATCTATGGCTAAGAAGATCTACGATGTGCAACAGCAACACATCGATGGCGCAACGGGCCAGTCTGTCGCCCGCACTGGAGCGACTGCAGCACACAGTCAACAGCCAGCGACTGGTGAGGCTGATATCAAGCAGCAAGCTATGCGCTACATCGGGATCCAAGAAGCTGCACAAAAGCTTGCTCAAGAAAGGCTGGCAAAGATAGGATATGACGAGAACGCCGCCTACCGAAGCTACTACGGCTACGACCAGCCAACCAGGTCGAAACTCTCCATGCGCCGTGGGCGTAATCGCGCCCACAGTGCTTCTGAGCCAGCCCCTGCGGACACTTCGGACTCTGACGAAGACGACTTTCGTTCGAGGCGAATTCGTTCGCAGATGGATCAGTTCAATAAGCAACTGGCTGATGTGGACGCAAAGAAACGCGAAAATGATCGCAAATCCTTACTTGCTGCTGCGCAGCGCAAGGTTCAAGCACAGATGCAGGGCATGGACAAGAAAATCTATGACGAAACGGGCAAGATGTCGTCTGCCATGGTGGACGATTGGGATGAAAAGGCGAGGCAGCGTGCCTTAGCGAACTCTGAAGCTCGCATGGAAAACCACGGTAGGGTGCATATCGGTAATGGTAAATGGATGAATCAAGCCGAAATCGACGCTATCGCCCAGGCCAGAATTCAGCCTACTTTAGACGAAATCACCGAGAAGACCGAAAAGCGCCTCGCCGAGGACGAGAAGCGGCGTGCTGAGGAAGAAGAGCGCCGACTCGATCTGGAGCAGGAGAAGCGCCGTATTCGTACCGAGAAAGAGCGGGCTGCTGAGATCAAGGCTGAGGAGAGGAAGGGAAGGGGTAAGTTGTTCTTGTTGAGTCGTTCATCCCATTACTGACGTACAAACAGAAGAAGAGAAGAGGGCTGCCAAAGCGAAAGCTGCTGAAGAGAAGCTGGCTGCGAAACAAGCAAAGGAAGCGGAGAAGACCAAAATTACCGAACAACGCAAGTCCAAGGAGATCCCGCTGGCTGAATCAGCAGTCGTAGATGCTGAAGCGCCGCGTGACAACGAGGATCTGTATCAAGAGCCTACACCTACAGAAGCTCAACGTACTGCTGAGCATGATTCAACCGACCCGACTTCGCCCACGTCACAAGGATCTTCGAAAGGGTTCAAATCGCTCCTGAACAAGTTGAAGCGCCGCTCAAAGCATGCTCCTGGGACAGAGACTGAAGGTAATACGAAAGAAACGGAACCTGGCTTCATTGGTGGCGCAACTCTTCGGAACTCCACCTCACAACCCCAATCTCAATCTCAGTCTTCGAAGAGCGCTACCCATCCAGCTCGTGAGTCGATAGACAGCCGCGTATCTGCTGATGTCGAACCACCAAAGGATTTAGGCGCGGTTGAGCCTACTTACGTTCCTCACGTCGGCTATGTTGACGACGATCGCTACTCAGATGTCTCATCCTTGTCTAGCGATGGGGAGGAATTCAGCATCGCACGTGGAAGATCAGCAGAACGTGTTGTAAGTGGTGCAACAGCGACATCCGCGGGAGAGAGCTTTGAGGAAGCCCGTGATCATTTCGACGAAGCTCTAGCACCACCTCCAGCGTTCGGCTCTGATGCAGAGAAAGCGAGGATAGGAAGTCCAAACCGAGAGTCAAAGTTTCAGGAAGTGGGACTATAGCCCTCGCAACGGTACCTCAGGGGAGAGCGTTGCTCCTAACAGAATAATGTTATGATTAAGCTGAAGCATGTACTGATGAGCTATATTTGGAATTACGTTGTTACGTGTACTAGCCTACAGGGGTACGGGGAGCACAAGTACGGCCTTTGGGTATAATTTAATGTCTTATTCTGTAAAAAGGAAGAAAGTTCCCAATATCTCAACCTTCTCTACGTGTATTGTGCGAAATCTTTTGGGGAGAACACAGACAACAGTTCAGTCTTGATGTTCTGATTCGATGCTTATGCTGGGTAAGTACGGATCTACCTCACCGAGCCTTGCTACCTACGACCTGCTATTGTACAGATGTGCAGGCTACCAAACTAAACACTTAACTTGAGGCCCTGGTACTAAAGCCATCTTGATCTCTGTTTCAACGCGATGGACCTTGCACAGAGTCGGTGTAGAAGGTGAGATCAGTCCCTACCAAGAACCGCAACAAACGTGATTGGTCAAAGCTGCCCCGGGGTGCTTATGTCATGTAGGGCGATCCAGCGTATGTGGAAACAACACGAGCTCCTTTCTTGAACAGCATCACCTCCACGACCCCGACCCCGCCTTATACGACCGTCTCTCATTTCCTATCACGCGCTTCTGGAGTTGTGCACCTGGGTCTACTTCTTCCTTTTCTTCCGATACCCGATTCTTGCGCGCTTTCTCACCCCGGTGAGCTTGGAACTGGACTGTCGCAAACATGGCTCAGCGACAGGTGCCATTGCACGTCACGCAGCCGACGCTGGTATGCACCGCACTAGAACCTGGTATTGCATAGTCATCAAAGCTAATAACTGGCAGCTCACGAACCTCAACATTCTCGTACGTTGGTCCTAGGCTACGCAGCCCGCGAACAAGGCAACAAGAGTTAGCAAGCTAACACACAGCCCAGCCAGCATCGATATCATGGCAGAACTGCGTATGTTATCCTACTCAATTGTATGCACGAGATGCAAATATGCTGACAGAAGGCCTAGACACTCGAGTCCGACAAGTACGTTTGCGTGCGACAGGTCAACACCGAAGCCAACGCGCCCGCCGAGACCGTCATCATCGACCTCAAGAACACCAACAATGTCATCCGGAGACCAATTCGCGCCGACAGCGCTATTATGCACTTGACTGAGCCTATCATTGCTCTCAAGGCGCAAGGCCGAACATTGCAGCTATTCAACCTTGAGACCAAGGAACGCCTGCAGACCTACAGCCATCAGGAGGACATTCAGTTCTGGAGGTGGATCAGCCAGACTACCCTTGCGCTCGTCAGCACAAAGGCTGTATATCACTGGGATGTACTGGACTCGAAGAACGCTGTTGCGCCGCGCAAGATCTTTGATCGCCAAGAACAACTCGAGGTATGCAGTGGCCCATTTATAGCGAATTGCATCTAATCCGCTGTGTAGAACAATCAGATCATCAACTACGTTACCAACGATGACGAGAGCTGGTCCTGCTTGGTTGGTATCACATCGAACCCCGCTG